ACTTTTGTAAGTTGTTTCAAACAACTCAAAATAGGCTGTTTGGCACATTGTCTGAAATGTCTTCAAGGTCTTATAAAAGTGAACAGAGGGAGTCAGCAGCGAATCTAGAACTTAATTGTAGGGCAGGCTCAAACAAGCAAGAGGCACTGAGATGGGCCAAAATGCAGTCGATTTACTGGGTTAAGCCCTGTACCATGAGCAGTAAAGGCCTAATTGATCCGGTTGGAGGGCAGGCTCAAGCCTGTTAAAGCCTGTACAGTAGATTCGCCCCTGGAGGGAGTAGTTTATTCTCATCTATTCAATAATCCTTATGGGTACATGGTGTCCCTTTAATAGGAAAGTCTTACTTTATGCCTAAGAATAGAATCTTGACTGTCCTAACAAACCATATTTATATCTTCCTAACTGAATCAACATCTTCCTTGACTAGATAGATATCTTACTTATCATCTCCAATGGACTAAGGGAGAGATCTACACCTCTGACATTACACCGCTCTTTTTTAGCAGCTCGTCCTCGAGCTGCGGGGGTGGCCATCGTTGAACCCCAAGGAGGCCCCAAATTGCTGACATGTTGTGCCTGCTGCATTCATACATTTATGCGGCCCAGTTCAGAGGGCCTGCGTGCTGCTTTCCATCGTGTTGGCTTGCATAGGAGCGCCGTGGACCGCCCCTTTGGCCTAAGTAGAAGCTAAATCCCAACAAGGCATGCTCATATGGGGAGGCTCATCTGGTTGAGCTTACCACCTGCAATGGCTCTAGCAATAGCAAGACCAAGGGTGGCTGATTTCCCATGCCCACGAGCAGCGAGCAAGGCAACCATGCTCGCAACTCGCAAGGGACTTGTCCAAATAGAGTCCAGGAAATTGGTAACAGCTTTACACTGTGCATATGTTTTCAGTTTGAGTTTATGGCAGGGCAAACAGCTCTTTTTTATGCCTATGCAAAATGCGGACAGTGTAAGAGGTGTAGCACCTGATGCATCTTGCACCAATTTCCAATTAAAGGGCAACCAGGAAGTATTCACGGAATTGATCTTTTGGGTCTTCCAACTCTGGTTCCCATTTCTGACAATCCCTAGGAATCCTAAACACAACCAGAATCTTGAAGGTATTATGCACCACAACTTTACAGAACCATCACAGGATATAGAAAATTAGAATTTAAGCACAGGAATTGAAGTCCGTACCTGAGGTTTGAAATGGAGGTTGGTAATCAGTGTAGAGTGCAAAATGATGGGAATGTTCAGCGTGTAACATCTAAACTGGATATGAAACTTGCTGCACATAGGCATTCTTTGATCTCACTTCTCACGGGAAGCACAATGCGGAAGCCTTGGGAATAGATAACAAGGATCAAGGAAGACCAAGTAGCAAAACAACGAAAAGTCCCTCTAGCCATCTAACTCACTCCAGATTAACAGCTCTGGCACATCAGGCATCAGAAGAAAATCCCAAATTGCTGCAGTGCATCAAGTCCAGCTGATTCTATGGCTACTCTTTCAATGCTTCCCTTGCTAAAATTGTGCACATACGGAAGCTAGGCTTATGATGATTTTTTTCCATGATGTGCAGAAACTCCATGCACAAGTCTTCGTATCCAGCCCCAATCAGTCCATTGATGAGAACAGTCCATACAATGTCATCAGAATTAAAATTCCCCGATTACCAAATTGGGCTTCATTTCTTCTATGAAGTTGGCATAAAGCACATATTAGTTCTTTATAACAAACAAGGTGGAGTTCACGACACTGAGCAGACACATGTCTGAATACATCCATAGCTAGGTCAACTTTCAGGGCTCTCAAAAGTGAAATAACAATTATATGCCTCCTGGTTTGGGCATAAACCCTGACCAACCATGTGTCTGTACAGCTTCACTGCCTTAAACCATCTCTGACTTCTGCTTAATCCAGACAACAATGCATCGTGCAACTGTTGAGATAGTCTAAGATCCAGTTCTGCTAATTTAGAAGACAAGACTGAAATGGTATCTTTGTTAATTAGTATTTGGTAATCAAAGTTGCAGTCTGAGACTACATCAGGAAAGGCTACAAGTTTCTGGTCCACCATCAGGTATTCATTTTGCAAGCCTTCAATTAAAATACCATATCCACAAGGTTGGTCGGCATCCAGCAGTTATCATTTTCCACAGAAAATCCAAGGCACGATCTGCGTTGCCTGACATTACATAAACTTTGATCATCTTAGCATAAGCGACTTCATCTGGACTAAGCCGTCGCTTCACAATTCTGTAAACAATTCCTCAGCTTCCTCTACCTTGCCTTCTTGACCCAGAGCTTGGATAAGAGAACTGTAAATATGCAAATTAGGTGAGCAGTTATGCTCAACCATCCTGTTGAACATTTCAAGGGCCAAAGATGCGGCCCCATTTTTGCATAACCCATCAATTATAGTAGTGTAAGTGACTACATTTGGTGATATATTTTCTTCAAGCATCATCAATAGTTCCTGTACAGCAGAAAAAATATTATGCTTAGTTAGACCATGGATTAAAACATTGCAAGTCTGCACAGTTGGTCTGCAACCACTTATTTTCATGTGTTCAAACATTCTTGTTGCACATTCCAGTTTCTCGTCCTTGCAGTATCCACTTATGGGTGCAGTGTAGGTAACTTCATTTGGGCAAAACCCATGGTCCCTCATTTCATTGAACATTTGATAAGCTGATTCCATTTCACCCATCTTGCAAAAGCCAAAGATCAGTTGAGTATAAGACCACTCATCATCATCAGCAGCAGTATTCCCTGAGTCACAGTATCCTTTGATGATGGTGTTGTGTGTCAGAAGTGTAGCTGTAGCTCTGCCCTCAAACATATTGATCAGCATGGACATTGACTTATCAGTATTACCAATTGTGCAATAGCCCTTGATCAATACATTGTATGTCACGGTGTCTGGTAAACAACCATGTCTCTGCATCACATTACAAACAGTACGTGCAGAATCCATTTTTCTATCCTTCCTCCACCAGAACATTCATCAAAGCATTATGTCACCATATTAGGGAGCACTCCATCTCTTTGCCAACCTATGAAATAGTCCAATGGACATCCTTGACAAAAGCTGCTCACTTATAAGTGACTGTACGTATAGTCGTACACACAGTTGGTCAGCATCCCTTCTTTTTCATATAAACAAACAGCTTCCAGGCATCTTGAATGCGCCCCATGCCACACAACGCAGCAATAGGGACAGCAAAACACCACACCGTGTCATTTTGCTAATCAAATCCAGTGTCTCGTTCACCTTCCTACTATCGCACAGCCAATTGATCAGGGTTGAGTATGTCGCGGCGTTTGGCTCACGCCCCTCTTTATCCATTCGATTGAAAACCTCAAGTGCAGAATCCAAGCCATTGTTCCTACAATACCCAAGAATAATTGAGGGTTAGGTGAACGTGTCGGGCTTCATCCCAGACTCAGATATATGATTCATAATTGACTCTGTATGCCTAACATTACCATCCTTGCACAATGCATTGAATCACGGCGTAAATTTGGCTTCAAACCCTCTCTAAGAAGCTGGTGGTGCCTGTCCATGACCGTGGCCGTCGTGTTGAGCCTGCTCAGGTGGATCAACAGGGTGCTATACGCGAAGAGACCCATCTTGGACCCTCTGCGGCTGGGAGGCTGCAACGCGGCCGGCCTACGTAGGCCTTTGCGGGCGCGCTTAATCAGGGCGGCTGCTCGAACATTGGGCGGAGAGGAGCGGAGGGAGGATGGGTCTGAGAGGGGAGAGCGGTCTGAGGTGGGCGGCGCGTGTGAGGACGGAGAGGGGGGACGGTGGCGAGAGGTGGGCGCCGCCATTGGGGGAGGAGGAGGAGGAGGAATTGGAGGCGGGGGATCCCATCCATGTGGGGAGGGCGGTGGCCAAGGGATTTCCATGGAGGGAGGGAGCTCCACGGAGAAGAACAGAGAGATATGGGCCGTCGTGGGCCGCCATTTCCTTCTCTTTTTTTTTGAGCATCATTTCCTTCTTTCTTAGAAGAAGGGAGGAAGGCGTTACTCTCAGGCCCAAACTTACAGTACTACAGAGCGGAAAACGTAGGCCCAAATAGTGACCACGGGGCTCGTCGGCGGTCGGCCGCACGGCACGGGCGCCACCGTGGCAGCCGAGGCGTTGGCGACGCAGGCGAGCCAGCCGCTGTTGTCTCGTCCTGCCGAGCAAGCGCGTCTGCTGCTTCCTACTGGGTAGCGTCGGAAAGCGGACGGCGGCGACGATTGATCTCGTCCTGAACGGAGCAGGGGCGGCGGCGGCGAAGGATAATCCGGACGGAGACGGTGAGCTCACTTGTCTCTGCGCCTAGCTGCCGTGGTCAAGCAAATTTGAGTAAGCATATACTATACTAAGCATCCGTATGCCTTCTGTAGTTCTGTGGCAACAGAGAGCACTCGACAGCTTACAAATGCATGGCATTGCCATTTGCCAGTCAATAGCAAGGTTCACACATGCACACCATCTGTTTGGTTCAATACCCCAGAGCTGGAATGCGCAGGCAAGCAACTCATCTTATCATAGTACAGTGTTGAAACCTTTACTATCCTTGTTATTCACACAAGTTCGAGCATGCCTCGCAATCTAGTGCATCATACCACTGGGCCAAAATTTCAAACCTCTTTATGAAGCCTTCAACTTGAAGTACAAACACTAACAAGATACAGAGGTGTGGATCCAAGACCGGGGAGAAAAATTACCCCAAAGATGGATCATGATATGAACCTCCATCCAACTGCTCTCCGGCACACACCATGACCACATACACTGATGTAGATGTCCAGCTAGGCCACCATCTCCTCCTTGCAAACCTGATGTGCTCCAACTCTGACCACCTCCATTATTTACCTTTGCACAGGCTATGCCATGTATGCTCCTTGCTCTATAAAAACAGCATCAACACATATCTTTGCTTTGCCTGTACATCACTTTGTGAGGCGCATTTTCTTCACACGTTCAGGGCTGACTTCGGAGCAAATTTCTTCACCGCATCGCCTACGGACAGGAATATCTTGTCGTCGCCGATGAGCTTCGTGAATTTTGCTGACTGCAGCTTCTGGATCACTGCTGACCCGGGATTGGCGAGGATCAGCTGTAAGTGGCACACATGGATTTTTCTTTCTTAGTAAAGTGTTTCTCCATGAACATTCTTGCGGTAGCAGCTAGTAGCTGTGCAATTCTGATCATAGTTTTTGGTATTTTACCTGAATTTTGCGCTTTTCAAGTGCTTTCAACAACTCCTCCAAGGCATGGATTCCACCTGTGTCGATGTCAGTCACCGCTGTTGAAGTGTTAGTAGATCAGTGTTATAAACTGATAGCAAAAAAGCAACTAATTAATTGGTAACTTTGTTATTATAAAATACAGTAAATCCATTGTCTCCTTATGAGATAGCTCAACAATGAGAAACTCTGTTTTGGACAGCTTCTGTTCCTGCTGTTGTTCCTCCTCGTCTCTCAGCCATCTCAGGATTCTGAAAATAGGATATAAGTTCCTATACTAGTAATCATGCCAATAAATCATTAAATCTTGTAAAAGAAGTTTACCTCTCTTTAACATAATTGGAGTTTGTGAAGTAGATGGCTGAGTCCACTCTGACAATCATAACCCCGGGTACCTTGCTAGCCTCTGGGTATTGTTCAACATTCGTGTAGATTGTTGTCCTTGGAAGGTTACCGAGTAAAGCTGTTCTTGGCCGTGTTACTTGGAGAAGAATTTTGCCAAGAGATATTGCAACCTATTCCATGCAAGATCCAGAATCATCAGCCATGTCAGTAGGAGGATTCAGCTGTAATTAACATGACAAAAATTGTAGTAGTTCACACCGCAATGAGCAAGCCGTACTCCACTGATGCAAATACGACCCCAAAGAATGCTCCTAGCAATGCCATGAAGTCCATTTTATCAACCTTCCAGATAAGGTACGCCGCTTCATAGTCAACTAGGCTAACCACTGCATTTATGATGATAGAAGCTAGAATGGCATTGGGCGTGTACTTGAACAATGGAGTGATCAACAACAGCGTAAGCATCACTACAATTGCCATAACAACATTGGATACTGCTGTTTTGCAGCCAGCCATGTAATTGACTGCTGATCGCGACATAGAACCTGAAGGGAGCATATCTTGTCAGTAGAATGCTATATTTGTATGGAGTATGTACTTTTTCTTCTAAAAATGTAGTCACCTGTGCCTACGTAGCATGAAGTCATTGAACCAACAATGTTCATCGTTCCTAGGGCCAGCATTTCTTTATTCCCATCTATTTGATAGTCCTTCATGGCAGCAAATGTTCTTCCAATTGCGATTGCTTCCTAAAAAAGTTTGCATTGGTTTTGACAGATTGTTGGGTATGCTAAAAAAAATCCATGCAATTGAAACTAAAAAGGTCATCAAAGGTTTTGTTACCGTTAAGCCGACCATTCCGGCCACTACACCAATTCTGAATCCTTTAGCTAAGTATGGGCCAGACCAATATATGAGATGAAATGAAGGTAGATTGATGCCTTGCTTTATATCCTTGACCTGCAATTATCCAGTAATTAATCCACATAGTTATCTTCAATTAATTTGTTACTACTGAAATTTCTGATGGCAGAAGTTGCGAGTACTCAAGTTGACTTACAATTGCAACACCCTGCTTGTCTGCACGGGTGATGAACACACAGAATGTGGATACGATCACTGAAATGAGCGGAGCGATTGCAGAAACCCAGAAGAGCTTTTTATTCTTCTTGGCCTGAATTATCCCAATGGAACAGCATGATCATCACAAATAGTTCGAGGAGAACCAAGATGAAATTTTGAAATGTACTGGTACTCTATCTTACAATGTATTTGGTTGTTAGAAGAAACGCCAGGAAGGATGCTCCAATCAATATCGTCTGCCAGTTACACTGAATCAACAACAGCACAAGGACAAGTTGATGAGATATTGGTCTTCATGACAGGAGTAACAGAATATATGGAAGGTAGGATATTCTTACCCCGTGTTGTATATTTCCCCATACCGATTCCATGACCGAGATGATGTCAGACTGCTTGGTGAATTTTGCGATGCCAAGGAAGCCTTTCAGCTGCTGAAGGCCAATGGTAATGGCTGCACCCGCCATGAAACCAACGATGGCTGCATGAGACAAGAACTCTATGATAAACCCTAGCCTGCAGCAGATCAATCGAGTCAGTTCAGAGAGTTCCAGGTGTTCATGCCAATATGACATCATAAACTGGAAGTGGCAGGTCAGTAAACCAGGGACCACGCACGCTCACCTGAAGAATCCGAGCATTGCCTGAGTGATCCCTGCGAAGAATGTTGCGGTGAACGCCAGCCTGCTGTACTCATGTGGATTCTTAACCGGATCGATCTCTTCCTGGAGAAGAGTCCCGAGCAATAGCGACAGGACGGCTGCTGGACCGATGGCTATGTCCCTGGAAGTGCCCATCGCAGCGTATATCAGAGGTGGAACGAAGCTACTGTCTGCAAATGAAAAATCAGCAACACTCTGGTCATTATAGTTGCAGACTTGCAGGAGCAAAACTGGAAATCCTGAGATCTCAACAATGATGAAAATGTATGCTGAACTTACAGAGCCCAACATGTGCTGGCAGGAAAGCAAGCTGTGCATAACCAATGTCCTGGTGTAAGATACCATGAGGGAGCACATGTCAGAGTACGTTGACAAGCCAGTGGAGGCTACGGTGCTGCTTTGCGAAGTTTGCTAGTTTGTTACCTGAGGTATGCAGAGGCTGGCGATGGTGAGGCCGGCGATGAAGTCCCCCTTGAACATGCCAAAGGTGTAGCTCCTGGCCCAGTCCAGCACCGGAAAGAGGTGCACCAGGCCGAACCACAGCTTCTTGGACCTCGGCTGGTCCTTGTACTCCCGCAGTGGGTCGTCAGGAAAGAAGGTCTCCTTCACCCCTTCGGCTAACTCCGTGAAGAGGCCCTTCGCCGGCGGGAACCTGACTTTGTAGCCATGGTCGTCTGTCTGGTGGTGTGACCCTGTCCTGGAGATGTCGCCATTGAAGTCTTCACCTCCGTCCAAAATGGTTCTCGGCATTGTCGCCAAAGTTGTTTGCACTGCACGTTGGTGCGAGGAAGGGAACGTCTATTTGTAAATGAAGCAGTGAGAACTGAAGTTAAACATCCATGAACAGGCACACACAAACGCATGAACAAGCACGATTACCAGCTACATGCATGGTGCAACTAAGGTCTCAGTTCTAGTATCTACAGAAACAAAACCAAGACCAGAAATGTAATTCTTCAGAACCGAAGGAAGGAATTCAAAACTTATGCATGGACAGCAATGTATATCAAGAATGGAGCACCCAACAGGACCAATGTATCATTCAAAACAATGAAGAATGGAGGAAGGAAGGAGAACCTACACAGCGATGAAAAGTACTGCTGCTTTTGTGTTGATTGTTCAGAAGCTAGGGAATGCTCATTATACATAGATGCGGAGAAGCTCCCGTTACCATCAAAGGTCAACCCCTCTTTTTTGATTAATGAGCACTGCAAATTATGAATCTGCGTCGAGGATTGTGCCATATTAAACATTGCGCATGCAGGAAACACCTACCTGATGGACTGGTTATTCTCACAGCTCATCACTCGCTCAACTTGTAAATTATTTTGCAGAACACAACCGGTGTTGAAAGAATGTGCATCTGCTGAACAAGCAGACTGGCTATGAGCACTCCCTGGTGGCTTTCATCAGTTTATCAAGACATCATATCATAACCTGGCTAGTTGCTGTTTACCCTGCCTTGTGTATGCATGCAGTTACACACTCATCCTTTCCAAGGCTGTTCAAGCGGCCTATTGATCAGAGTCATAAAGGGGATAAAATATAGCAGCATCTCATCAACTGGTAGTTAAGCAATCGATCTATTTCTGCGACGACTAGCTTTGTCGATCTCCAGTCTGATCCTGCTGCATTAAGCAATCGATCTGTTTTTGCAACGACTGGCTGTGTCGATCTCCAGTCTGATCCTGCTGCAGATCATGTTCTGACGGTGCATAATTAGAATTAACAACTGCATTATTGGGGTCTGGCGTAGTCCATGAGGCAGCTTATTAAGTAGAGTATGTTGTACCTTGCCATAAGCAGGGGCGCTTGTTTACAAGTCCACAAGTAGTGTTAACAAACTAGTACTTCCTCTTTAAACTAATCTACTATTCCTAAATAGTTTATCTCCACTAACTCTAATTCTCTCAACATGCTGCCTTCCATGTCACCAAATGTGCCATGTCAGCATCCACTAACACTATTTTGCAGCCTTGTGCAAACCTCATGCATACTCTTTGTTCACACCCAGTGCAAGTATGCATACTCTTTGTTCAAACAGTGCAAGTATGAAATATTTCTACCTTAAAAAATCTTTTGATTTAGATCATTTTCTTCATTCATGATTTATCTGAAATTAATCTTTAAATTCCCGGCGCAACGCGCGGAAAATCACCTAGTATATAAGACACTTTAAATCATTAAAGTAGTGATCTAAAACGTCGTATATTAGTTTACAAAGGGAGTATATTTTATCCCCTTTATGACTTTGATCAATAGGCCACTTGAACAGCCATGGAAAGGATGAGTAACTGCATGCCTACACAAGGCAGCGTTGTCAATGATGTATTGCTGTGTTGTAATGTTGTGCTTCCCTCAGCCATGGATCAAATATTTGGAGGAAATCCTTACCAGCTCTAGTAAATAAATAGGTCTATTCTATTTGTAGGCTAGAGCTAATAATTTAGTCATGAGTTAACCTTGTGCGTTTTTTGACAGAGGGAACAGCAGCTGAACCCAAACCGCCACTAATGACAGCGCCTGAACTACAAAAAGGTTCTGCAAAAGCGACACCTCTAGGGAACAGTGCACAAGCGTTGTCGTCGCCGATCAACGGGTCTAAGGTTTCCGCCCTGGAGAAAGTCTGAACTCTCCGGAAAATGCCTTCAACAAGGGAGCGATTGACTGATTGACATTGCTAGGTACAACCAATGAAGGTCAGACCTAGGGTATTCACCTTGGAAATCGAGACTTGTACTCGAGTAGCACCAATAAAATTGAAGTCCCCTAGTGCCGCCGCCTCCGCTTGTTGAGGCTGTTGTTGCAAATCACTAATCAACTGGCTCACAGGCATCACACGTTCGGTTTGGACAAGAACATCGTCCCACAACAGAACCGTGCCCGCATAACGGCCTGTGAAGCATTGTCTTCATCGCATCCAAGACCATGCCTCGCCATTACTTAGCAGTCTCGAACTCAACATGAGCCATCGAGACCTTCTGGTGTTCCAATCGTAGCCACCTTGACATTTCCCACCTCTGTCAACATCGTGGAGATCACGGCGTAGATGGTGATGTCGACATACCCCATGGTGTCAACAGAAAGCGGAGCTTCACGATGTGCCCCTTTGAAGCTGCACAGGCTGATGTTTCCGAACGTGCACGACCGGATCCCATTTGATCCAGATGTCATCCATCAATGTGTGAAGACCACCGATGGAGGAGTCTGGAACTCGTCAGCAGCCAGATCGAGGACGACCAGCAGTAGGAAGATCAGCGAGTTGGATGGGAGAAGACCACTAGGGTCGTCGCCCTTCCTTTGTTTTCCCCGTCAGCGCGCCTCACACTGGCCAACCTCCACCTTATGGACTGCGCCTAGGGGAGCCCCCCACCCCTTCGGAGATAGGGCTTGCCGCCACCGCGGTAGAGGTCAACGGCAGGGGAGGCCACAACGAATGATGGCTAGCGGCAGTGCTAGGGCTTGGCTCCTGGCGTAACCCGGGGAGCGATGCCCCGGAGCGAACCGCTCCGTATTTTCTTCCTCCCAGTTAACCTTGTGCGTATGAGCCGATCTCATTCGAAGGAAGCGATTTTTGGTATATGCTGTGAAGCTGCCTGCGTACCTCTACCAAAATCTTGTGCTCGCCATTCAGGCATTGTGATAATGAATGTTGCAAGGACTGATGCGTGGAATCGGCCCGCCGCCAATAACGACGAGGTCAGCCCCTCCGGCGTGGGGGTGATCATTGATCAATATCCCGTTCGACCGGGAGCCTCTTATGTTTCTAGTATCTGGTGATGCATTAGCTCATTTAAGGTCGGTGCAGTGGAAATGTACTTGGTAATGAACTGTTCAAGTATGTTATGTTTGATGTTAATGTGATATTGTCATTTAATTATGCACTGAAATAGTTTAAATGCATGTTTGAAATGTGTGCAAAATTTTGTGCTTTTTTTTTGAGAGATCGGCTAGATGAACAAAGTTTAATTCCTAAAAAAAGTACTATGGAATTAGATTAGAGCATGATGAATACAATGAGGGATTAAGTTTTAGAGCATGAGGAATACGATGAGGGATTAAGTTTCAAAGCTAGAATGCACAAGCAAGCAACTCATCTTATCGGAGTAGTATCAGAACCTTTAGTGTATCCATTCCACTCAGCCAAATGCAAAACCTCTTTATAAAGCCTTGAAGTACAAACACTAACAAAATACAGTGGTACAGATCCAAAAACTGGACAAAAAAACCCAAAGATGGATCATCAAATAAACCTCCATCCAACTGCTCGCCGACGCACACCCCGAGCACGCACACTGATGATGCAGATGTCCAACTAGGCCACCATCTTCTCCTTTTTCTCCAACCACATCTTGCGAACCTGATGCGCCCCAACTCCACACACCTCCATTATTTACCTTTGCACGAACTATGCCGTGTACTTCTGTATTCCTTGATCTATAAAAATCACACCAACACATCTCTCTGCTTCTCCTGTACATCGCTTCGTTCGACGCGTCTTCTTCAGACGTTCAGGGCTGACTTCGGAGCAAATTTCTTCACTGCGTCGCTGACCGACAGGAATATTTTGTCGTCGCCGATGAGGTCTGTGAATTTCGCTGACCGCAGCTTCTGGATTACTGCCGGCCCGGGATTGGCGAGGATCAGCTGTAGTGGCACACATGGATTTTTGTTCAGTGATTATTCCATGAACATGCTTGCGGTAGCAGCTAGAAGTTAAACAATTCTGATCCTAGTTTTTGGTATTTTACCTGAATTTTGCGCTTTTCAAGTGCTTTCAGCAACTCTTCCAAAGCATGGATTCCACTTGTGTCGATATCAGTTACCGCTGTTGAAGAGTTAGTTGATCAGTGTTTAGCAATGAATAAATCAAATTTAATTTCCGTATTCTAAAATATAGTAATTCTATTGTCTCCTTACGAGATAGCTCAACAATGAGAAACTCTGTTTTGGACAACTTCTGTTCCTGCTGTTGTTCCTCCTCATCCCTCAGCCATCTCAGGATTCTGAAAATACGATAATAAATTACTATACTAGTAATGATGCCACTGAATAATATAAATTAGTAAATCTTGTTGAAAGGAAGTTTACCTCTCTTTAACATAATTGGAGTTTGTGAAGTAGATAGCTGAGTCCACTCTGACAATCATAACCCCGGGCACCTTGGTAGCTTCTGGGTATTGTTCAACATTCCTGTAGATCGTTGTTCTTGGGAGGTTGCCGAGTAAAGCTGTTCTCGGCCGTGTTACTTGGAGAAGAATTTTTCCAAGAGATATTGCAACCTATTTCATGCAAGATCCACAATCATCAACCATGTCAGTAGGAGAAATTCAGTTGTAATTAACATGACCGAAATTGTAGTAGCACGCACCGCAATGAGCAAGCCATACTCCACTGATGCAAATACGACCCCGAAGAATGCTCCTAGCAATGCCACGAAATCCATTTTATCAACCTTCCAGATAAGGTACGCCGTCTCATAGTCAACTAGGCTAACCACTGCATTTATGATGATGGAAGCTAGAATGGCATTGGGCGTGTACTTGAACAATGGAGTGATCAACAACAGTGTGAGCATCACTACAATTGCCATAACAACATTGGATACTGCTGTTTTGCAGCCAGCCATGTAATTTACTGCTGATCGCGAGAAAGAACCTGCAGCAAACATATCTTGTCAGCACAATGCTATATTTGCATGTGATATGTGGCTTTTCTCTACTAAATTAGCAATCACCTGTGGCCACGTAGCATGAAGTCATTGAGCCAACAATGTTCATGGTTCCTAGAGCTACCATTTCTTTGTTCCCATCTATTTGGTAGTCCTTCATGGCAGCAAATGTTCTTCCAATTGCGATTGCTTCCTGATAAAGTTTGCATTGGTTTTGACATATTGTTGGATATTCTAAAAAATCTATTCGGAAAAAAATGAAACTAAAAGGTCAATGAAGTTTTTGTTACCGTAAGGGCAACCATTCCAGCTACTACACCAATTCTGAATCCTTTCGCCAAGTATGGGCCAGACCAATATATGAGATGAAATGAAGGTGGATTGATGCCTTGCTTTATATCCTTGACCTGCGATTATCCAGTAATTGATCCACATTGTTATCTTCGACTAATTTTTTACAACTGAAGTTTCTGATGGCAAAAAGTTGCGAGTAGTCAAACAGCGACTTACAATTGCAACGCCCTGCTTGTCTGCATGGGTGATGAACACACAGAAGGTGGATATGACAACTGAAATGAGCGGGGCGATTGCAGAAACCCAGAAGAGCTTCTTATTCTTCTTGGCCTGAATTATTCCAATGGAACAGAATGATCATCACAAATAGTCAAGGGAACCAAGATGCAATTCTGAGCATGTAATATTTTATCTTACGATGTATTTGGTAGTTAGAAGAAACGCCAAGAAGGATGCGCCAATCAATATCGTCTGATAGTTCCACTGAATCAACAACGCAAGGGTAAGCTGATGAAATACCATTTTTTTGTCATCACAGAAGTAACAAAATAGAAAAAAGGTTGAATATCCTTACCCCATGGTGTACATTTCCCCATACTGACTCCATGACCGAGATGATATCAGACTTCTTGGTGAATTTTTTGATGCCAAGGAAGCCTTTGAGCTGCTGAAGGGCAATGGTTACGGCGGCACCCGCCATGAAACCAACGATGGCTGCATGAGACAGGAACTCTATGATAAACCCTAGCCTGCAGCAGATCGATCGAGTCGGGTCAGAGACTACGTAAAGCAGATGAACTTTTCTGGAGTTCATGCCAATATGACATCAGAAACTGCCAGGTCAACGGGCCAAGGACCACGGATGCTCACCTGAAGAATCCAAGCATCGCCTGAGTGATCCCCGCGAAGAATGTTGCGGTGAAGGCCAGCCGGCTGTACTCATACGGATTCTTGACTGGATCGATCTCTTCCTGGAGGAGAGTTCCAAGCAACAGGGACACGACGGCCACCGGACCTATGGCTATATCCCTGGAACTGCCCATCATAGCGTATACCAAAGGCGGAACGAAGCTACTGTCTGCAAAAGAAAATCAGCAAAAAACTCTCATCATCATTATATATAGTTGCAGACTTGTAGGAGCAAAACTGGAACTCTGAGATCTGATCAGTAATGAAAAAGCTAACAGGTATGTTGAACTTACACAGTCCAACATGTGCTGGCAGGAAAGCAAGCTTGGCATAACCGATGTCCTGGCGTAAGATGCCATCAGAGAGCACATGTCAGTCAGAGTACGTCGAAGGGCTGCCTGTGCATGCAACTACACTACACAAGAGAGCAGCTTTGATTTCTAGTTTGTTACCTGAGGTATGCAGAGGCTGGCGATGGTGAGGCCGGCGACGAAGTCCCCTTTGAACTTGCCGAAGCTGTAGCTCCTGGCCCAGTCCAGCACCGGGAAGAGGTGCACCAGGCTGAGCCACAGCTTCTTGGACCTCGGTTGGTCCTTGTACTCACGCAGCGGATCGTCGGCGAAGAATGTCTCCTTCACCCCATCTGCGAACTCCGCGAGGAGGCCCTTCGCCGGCGGGAACCCGACCTTGTAGCCATGGTGGTGGTGGTGGTGGGTGCTGTTGCTGTCTGTGTAACGGTGCGACCCCGTCTGGCTGGAGACGTCGCCGTCAAAGTCCTCGCCTCCGTCCGACACGGTTCTTGGCATTGTTGCCGACGTTGCTTGCACCTATGTGCAGATGGATACGTCTGTCTGGAAATAAGGCAGCGAGCGAGAAATGAGAACATCAATCCCTATCTACGTCGGGCGAGACAATTAGCATATACTGCGAAACTGAAGCTAACTCTCCATGTATTTCAGACGGAGAAATCATTAGTACTAGTCAAATAAAGCACACACACACACGCATGGACATGCATGACCATCCATCTGCATGCATGGTGCAACTAAGCTCTGAACTGAATGAAACAATTTACAGCAAGGGAAAACCAAGACCATAGGTGTTTTTCTTCGGAACTGAAGGAAGGAATCAGAAACTTATGCATGAACAACAAGAAATACAGTATATATCAAGAATGGAAGCAGCCAACACCACTGATCATTGCATATCATTCATAACCATGAATGAAGACTTGATGGACCAAGGAAAGAAAACATACACAAGGATGACACTCAGCCAAAGGCCTGCTGCTTTGTGTTGATTGTTCAGAAGCTAGGGAATGTCCATTATATATAGATGCAGAGAAGCTGCGGCCGCGATGAAGGTCAACCCCTATATTTTAATCGGAGGGCCAAGAGATAAGCTAAGCTGCAAATTATGAATCTGCGTCGAAAATCGCACCACATTCAGCATAGCGCAGGAAACGCCTACCCTAATGAATAGGTTATTCTCACAGCTCATCACTTGCTGAACTTGTAAATCATTTCTGCGAAAACAATCAAACGGTTTCAGTGACAGGTGACACAAGGAACAATGAAACTGGCTTTCAGCTCTACATGGGCCAGAGTGGACCTGAGCAAATGTGTGTGTGTGATGTGCCCAAACAGGGTAACTTATTAAGATATACTCCAATCTTCACCAAGTTGCAGTTTTGAAACGTTGCCAGTTTTTCTAGCTGATGAAAAGGGACGATTCCCTTCCTGTACCATCGAGTCATGCACACGTTGGCTTAATGCGCAATCAAACTCCGATGAAAAATAGAAAGTATATGACATAAAGGGGGCTAGACTTGTGCAATTTTGACATTTAGGCTTACCCAAATGCATGTGCTATGACTTCAGAAGCCAAACAGAAACTTCAGAATTCAGAAGAGCACTGGCCACTGAAAAAGCAAAATTGGGGGATTCTGTGGCTATTTTACCCTTCCGTATGCTTTTGCATGTTACACGCTCATCTTTGGCGTAGCTCTAGAAGGCGGTCAATCGATCAAGTTTTTTCTTTTTCTGCTGTACTGAACTATTTGACACCTTCTTAAAAAAAATCGAATTGAGGAACATCGCTCCCAATTTCATTCAACATGAAATTGATAATGTAACAGGGTTTTTGCTGGAAGGCTTCTTTACTGGACATCGACAAGATAGGAACGCCCGTTGTTTCAAGAAGAAAAGGAAAAAATGATCAAGTCGACAAGGAAAAAAAATACAATTCCTTAAAACGGAGTAGTTATGGACAAGTTCCACTACTAATGGCATATTGCAAGCTATAATAAGCTGCCTCTCACAGACTAGGCAGGCCGCAATAATGCAGTTGTTAACTCTAACTATGCACCGTCTGAACATGATCTGCGGCAGCAGAAGTACAGGATCAGACTGGAGATCGGCACAGTTAGTCATCGCGAAACCCGATCGTTCCATCAACTACTAGTTTAATTTCCCTTAATCAACTAGCAGTAGCGCCGGAAGAAAAATGGTCTGCCATTTGCATGAACCTGGTCAAAGAACCGATCGAAAGGCAGGCTAATGTGATGGGTTCCTGATGCAGGTGGACGGTCCTAAAATGCACAGCCGAGAGGCTGAGAGAGACCAACCGACGTGCTCCTCTGCCTAATAGATTCCATGCACTCTCGGTGGCTCTAATCACTCGCTTGCGAATGTACCTTGGCCCTGGCACACGTTGCAGCTAGCCTTTTCGTTCTAGTGGTGACCCAGTGGTGCTCTGCTATTTTCAATACAGTTTCAGGATAGGAGCATCTACAGTGTTCAGTAAGACAGTAACAGCTCTGTGTAGACCAAGTTCCACACATGCATGATAAAATGGCATTTTTCTACTACTCCCTCCGTTCCTAAATACTTGTCTTTCTAGAGATTTCAACAAGTGACTACATACGGCGCAAAATGAATGAATCTACACTTTAAAATATGTCTACATACATCCGTATGTTGAGTCCATTTGAAATGCCTAGAAAGACAAGTATTTGGGAACGGAGGGAGTAGAATACATGATGAAATGGTATTCATTCATGAGAAATCACAGGAACTCCGCTGTCAAAACCCAAAGATATTTCTTTCTAAAACCCATGATAAAAATACACAGCAGAAGAATAAGTCACCCTAGTGATCCGATCCAGTGACCCTATCGCACAAATCTAAGGAAAATGGTTCCGGTTTAACATTCCAGAAAGCATCTAGATCACTCAAAACTGAACAATGAAGGCCTGAAGAAAGAATACAAGCACACAAAGAACAGAGAGGAGGTGATAAACAAATGCAGGAACTAAAACCCTTTACGAACACGCGGTCGAAAAAGAACTTTTCCGTGGGGCTTTTTGCCTGCCTCGCTGTGCCAAAAGGGAAGGCAAAAGTTCGCAAAAAAATAAACGAAAGAGAGATCGAAAAGAAGGAGCAAGTGGTCTTTCTTACTGTGTTGTTCCTCTGGGAGCACCTTCGTGGAGCTCCGGACCTTTTCCTCCTGGCTTTTCCTGGGCCCCGCCAGTGTTCTGCTCGGACTATACCTTCCAGCAGATTGGATGGTGGAGGGTCGCCTCGAACGTGGACGCGATTGTGGGTCAGGAGGTCGACGACAGCGCCTTCATCACTATTTAAAAGATTGGGGGAGGAAGAAGCGAAAAGAGAGAGGGAGAGTGGGAGAAAGAGAGTCAAACAGTGTCCAGGTTCGATGAACCTGGTGTGGGGAGGCAGCGCAGGCGTGAAGAACGGGATGGGAGTTAACCACCTGCTGCCACGTTGACCTTGCTCGATAGTATTACGGCGAGTATTTACGGGTTGGGAGGCTGCCAGTTCACTGCCATTGCATGTAGGATGCTGTACTGGCGACAGCCGCACAGTGTGTTTGTTGTTGTAACAAAATCACAACATTTACTGTTTTGGTTTTCATTTTAGGCCAATTTCTCAGCACACCATGATTTGCGACACAAACTAATTCTTTTTTATTTTATTTTGAGTTGGTATCTAAACTTATTCAAACCATCAGTTGTCCTGTCTGGCAACCTGACACGAGAGACCCATTTGTCAATGTTCACATGGGTGCAGAGGTTGGCGTTCACTTGGAATAACACTAAGGGCATGTTCGGTAGCTCTCTGGCTTTGGGATGAGAACGAATGAGAAAACTCCGCGGAATTAAAAGGTTACATTACTTATATACTATGAATAACATTACGACAAAGGATGAGTATTGTAACAAAAGATGAGTTAGCTGTCAAGTGGGACCAACATTTATTTCAATATACTATATGTTTCACATGTGCATTCTATATAAAGCTCTAATTTTTGTATGGACATACCAAGTTGTCGTTCTGAGCAACTTATATTCTATAATAATGGATGCATATTAAAAATTAACACGTTGTTTGAAAATTTAGTAGAGATAACTGCATGCTCCGATCACCTGAAAACCTACGGGTTTTCTAAACACGATACAATCGGTACAATCGTAGATACTCATATATACGCACATGCACACTCTACCTCATGAGCACTTTCGAGATACTCAGCCGACACAACATTATGAGATTGACCAAGTCACCAAAGACACATCGTAGTCGCTGGGAACGTCTCCTCCCACTGAACGAACATCGTCGGTAAATTTGAAATAAATTCAGAACAATACGAGCACCAATGTTAAGTCTAGGACTTGAACCTTGGTGGGCTGGTTCCACCACACGAAAGCTAACCATCAAAGATAGTAGTTATTTCCTCCAAACTAACTTGTTTCACACTTCAAATAGCCAGAAGCCAACAATCTCATACAAAATTAACAAAGGAATGCGATGATCATTCAAGGAATCATGTGGTAAATTGTTTCATACTTAAATAATTCTTTTCGTTAATGGGACAAGCTGGGTGATCTTGATTGACAATGCGACCTTTTTTTTGGCATTGCCACAACCCGGAAGAACTTATTTGGACCCATCAATACGTAGGTATAACAGTTAGTTGGAATACTTGCTTTTAACAGAAGCGATCCCACATACCAATGATTACTAGAAAAATCCCCTTAGTTAGCTAGCAATTTATGACAGTGATAGTAAAGAAAACAATTTAACAGCAATCGCAAACTTATTAGCCTTGTATGAGAAAAATATAAAAAGGAGGCCCTATCATCTACACATCATTACATCATTGTGATGTACAGAATCATATTTATTTGACAAGTTTGAACCAATCCTTGATGTGTAAATGGTTATTTGAAATTAGAAAGCGCTCAAGGACTGGCATCAGATGGTGAGCATAAAATACCTCCAGCAACATAGCTTATCTGTAACTAAAAACCCAAGTGGCGGATCTCATTTCTGGCAGCGACTCATGAAGGTGAAAAGTATAGTTCACCAAATCACTGAAAGAATTGTAGGTAGATCCAAGACCTTGTCCTAGGAGGATGTCAAGAGTGGACTGATAAATCCAGCAGACAAATTCCCTAGACTGTAAGAAGATTAATGTACATAGGGTTAAGACTGAATGTTAATGCAATTCAGAAAAATCCCGTGGTCATACTGTGTTGAACAGTGGGACAAGTTGAAGATGATGGTGAATGATATTATTTTAACTGGTGGAGCTGACACAGTAAAGTGGAATCTTAGTGGCAAGCAAAGACTTTCTATGAGATAATTACACTTGCATGGCTGCAGAAAAAACTGACCTTGTGGGCTACAGATTCATATGGAAGTTGAAGATGCCACTAAAGATAATGATCTTCCTTTGGTTGATGCTGAAAAATGCATCTTGACCAAAGAAAATTTGCTTAAGAGGA